TATGTATATTTCTACTCTTGTTTAAGGTATTATATTTGTACAGCTCATTTGAAAATGTAATATATAATTAAGAAATATGGATTAATTAATAATCATCTATAATCACAAACTTATAGTCATGTTAATTAAGTTTTCTAGGTATACATAGATAGATATATTTCAATTAGGTAGGTAATCTTCAAACACTTCAAAGACCTACAGAATATGGCATTTAAAATGTTTTAATAAAGCCAGGTGGAAGTGGCGCACGCCTTTAATCCCAGCTCGGGAGGCAGAGCCAGGTGGATCTCTGAGTTTTAAGCCAGACTGTTTAATCTCAGACTACAGCGTGAGATCCAGGACAGACATCAAAACAACACAGAGAAACCCTGTCTCAAACAAACAAACAGAAAAGTTTAATAACACACGTTTCCTTTTTTTTATGATAATGAGACATGTTTGCTCCTGGCAGCACCAATCTACTTCAGAGATGATGGGCATTGAAGAAACTCCTTATGGAATTTACTTTCTTTGTGGCAAAAGTTAGCCATTGGGCAAGAAAATGCCCTTGTCTCAAGTGCTGACAGTATGCTGTCTAAAATGGACAAGCAGGACACAAAAGAAAGGACTGCTGATCCTTGCCAAGACAAGGTAGGAAAGCTCTTTAGAAGATCCTGTTTCACAGATGAGTCTGTCAGATATGCTAGGCCTGTGGGCCAAGGATAGATGTCCCAACATTGCAGAGAAACTTGAAGGGCCAGTCAGACTGCCAGCTGTCTCTGTCATTCTAGATTTTTGGAAGTTGCTTTCAATGCTCTTCCTGTTTACTTAGGTAATATTATATCTTTCTGAGGTCTCTGATGTAGTTGAAGACTAAATAGTTATAATTTTCCTTGATTATGATAAAAGATATATTAAATATGAAACCTTAGACTCACAAATATAGAATAGATAAAATATTTTCTTTAATTTTGCCAAATACAAATAGACTAGATAGTGTAACTGTAATTCTTACTTATTTGTTATATATAATCATCCTACTATATTAAAGCTAACACCTTCCTTTTTGATTAGATAGAAAAGGAGAAATGCTGGGGGATGTCTTTCTATATGCTGTGAATATATGTTGTTCCCACTGGTTAATAAATAAGCTGATTTGGCCTATGGCAAGGCAGCTTAGAGACAGGCAGGAAATCTGAGAGAGAAAAGAAGGAGAAAGGTGGAGTCTGGGGAGAAGGTGGGGGCTGCTGCCAGGAGAAGCAAGAAGTAAAAGTACCAGTAAGCCACGAAGCCACATGGCAATGCATAGGTTAATAGAAATGGGTTAAGATCTAAGAGCTAGCTAGCAAGAAGCCTGAGCCATAGGCCATCCAGTTTGTAAATAATATAAGCCTCTGTGTGTTTACTTGGGACCAAGTGGCTGCAGGACATGGGAGGGAGAGATTTGTCCTGATCACAGGGCCGGGCAGGACCAGAGAAACCCTCTGGCTACAACTGTTCACTCCAGTTATTCCCAGATGAATGTATAGCAGAAATCGGGGGAGAGTGTCATCTCCTAGGTATCTCCATGCAACAGCACCCTGCCCTCCACCCCCAGAGTCCTAGCTGTCTCCAAGGCTCGTCCAAGGGCAGTCAAGTGCTGCCCTTAGGTTGCTCCAAATGCCATGCCTGTTGGGTGGCCATGACTGCTCTCTTCTCTGTCTGCACTGTTCCTGTATGTAGTCTAGCATAGCATGTCCCAAGTCTCCTTGTCCTTGACCATCCTCACAGTTATTTCTCCCTCTGAAGAATAAGTTCTTCAGAGCCTTACTCTTGTCTGTTCCATCCCAGCATGTGGCAAAGCTAAGGGCAGCTTAGTAACATACAACTCTTGCTGAATTAGGTTTTTAAAACAGTCCTTTTTCAAAATAACTTCATCACTTCACTATGAATATAAAACAGCAAGATCCATTTGAAAACCACAGCTACAGACAGCTCTGCATTCATAAAAACTTAACAGATGGATACACCAATCCAGAAGAAAGGGGTATTCCAGACAGCCACCCTGGGTATAATGCAGAGGGAGGGCACAAATCAAGGTCTAAAGCACGGTTCTTAAGCTTGGCTACACACCAAAATCACTATTCAAAAAGATAAGAGACCCACTCAAAGCAGGAACTGGGCATTTCTGAGGGATGGCATAGCAGTAGTGCGGGGTGGGTGGAGGAAGGGAGGCTGATAGAGATCCTGAATGTGCAGCTGTATTCTAGTTACCAAGTGGAGCCCCAGAAGGGCTCTGAGCAGGAAGAGGAACTCAGACACTACACATGAAAGGTTCTTAATCCTCCCAACAGCTCCAAAAGATAGTGCTGAAAGAATGAGAGCGAGGCCCAGAGAAGTATGGTGACTACTTATTATCAATGGTCATGAACAGTTTTACCTTTACTTTTCTTCATTTTTACTTATCTTGCTGGGTGGGGAGGAGCAGGAAAAAGCCACATGTGAGGACTAGAGGACAATTTGCAGTGGCTGGTTCTTTGCTTTCACTGTGTGGCCCCCGAGCATTGGAATCAGTTTGTCAGGCTGGGCAGCAACACCCCTATTTTCTAAGTAATCTTACTGGCCCCAGTGCTAGGCAGCTAGGATGAAAAACAGATCAAGACACTATCTCATCCAAGATGACAGGACGGTAAATCTGACAGAGGCAGGTTCAAATCCAGACCCTTAAGCTTCAGAGGTCAAGCTTTGCACTCTAGGTACCCAGGTGAAAGGCAGTTAAAGTCTCCCCAGGAATGGTGATAGAGGATGCACACTCAACACCTGTCCAGAGCTAGGGGCTCCTGATGACACTGAGACATGATGCCGTCCCACAGTCACCATTCTGGGAGGACAGGGCCAACCGTGGGAAGATGCAGGGAGTCACCGAGAGTAAGAGTGAACTGAGCAGACTAGCTGGCACCAGTGCATGGCACGATGGAACTGACGCGCTCAATGGGCTCTGAGTAAACCACGGAGCGTGCGTAACAAAATGGCACTCACTGTTCCCATGGACCGTGGGGCTGCTTTCCCAATCCCTGCCACCACAGTCTCTAGCTCCATGGTAGGACCAGCCCAAAGCAATTCCCTGCCTGAGCAAAATGTCACACAGCACCACCATGGAGCTACTGCACTGAGTAGGGCAGCAATGCTGGCTGTTCCCCCTGCACAGTCCTACTCTGGATGCCTGGGACCCTGAATGTGACCATGAACAGAGGGACACTCTATTTCAGAGGGAACAGCAGCTGCTTAGAGCCAGGCTATGATACTGGACACTTTATGTAGAGGTGTTTGAGTCTGAGCCCAACATAGTACTTGCCACAGCAAGGCACAATAAATGTGAGACAACTCCACCATGTCCAAATGACCTTCCTGGAGGTCAGATCAAAGGCCGCCGCAGTCAAAGCAGGGGATGAAAATGCCTTGGTCTATTCTTGTCCAATATCCTGCCTACAGCCACAGTGAGAGCGACTATTGGTCTTGGACCCGACCCAGCATGCAGTGCGGCTCCAGGGAAGCTCAGTGTCGGCCGCTGGGAACTTCAAGAGACACCAGGGTAGGACCCATCCTCAGTGCAGAAAAGGAAAAGGTGCTTCGACGGCTCTCACTCACAACAGCAGACCTTCTAATGTGCTAGAAATGTGTGTTCTGATCCAGCCCTAAGTCTTGTGCAACTACCACCACAGGTTTCTCTCCCATGGACAAAAGGGAGTCTCACTGGTAATAAAATAAGGAATGGAGTTCAGGCTTCCAATTATCAACATTAAAAAGAGTATTCCCACCTGAGAGAAGTGTTTCCCACAAATGTTACACTCAAAAGGTTTCTCACCTAAAACAAAGCAAAACACAACAATTTATTGTCAGTACAAGAATTTTCATACTCATTTTTGTTAAAATATTTGATCCCCTGCGTCTTTCCTTTCCAAGCTGCCCATTCCATTCTTCTGTGTTTTGTTTTGGAACAAAGTCTCCCTCTGCAGCCCAGGCTGACCTGAAACTCTCAACAATTCCTGCTTCAGCCTCCTGAATGCTGGAATAGCATATGAGAGGCACCACACCAGCCCATGACACTCTTTATCCCCAGAGTGGGCACAGGGCATCTACTTCCAAATACTTATCTCTTACCCCAAGACTTTGCAGAAAGATGATAAAATCAAATCTATTTACCTTCATCTAAAAGTCAAACTGTTCTCCAAATACAAACCTATGGTGAAATAAAAAGACCGCCTAGTTTTTCTTCAGCACAAAACCAAATGGGACATTTCTCTACTTGACCTCTGACTCCAAACAGAGTGGACAGTCCCTTCACACCATGGGGGCTGTGGACCCTGGGGCCCAAAGGGTGAGGCACAGGTGGCCTGAGGAGCAGCCCTCTGCACTGGCTCCCTGCCTTAGCTGAGACTGGGCTTTCACAGCACAGAGAGGTGTGGTCTGCGGTCTTCTCCACTGAGCACAGTAACTAAAGCACTGCAGTCTGGGACAGAATAGACTGGAGCCACAGCTGTCCTGCATGGAGGTCTGCTGGTAGGTGTACTTTAAGGTGCTGGCTTTAGTCTGCATGGGCCTTTGAACCCCCAAGAAATGCCACTTCCCCACTCCCCTCAATTCAAGTGGTTACATTAAGACGCTCTTAAAAGTAACACCACTGTTGTTCTACACACAGGGCCTGTGGCCTTGGCAATTCCAGCTGCAGCTTTCTGGGTCTGCACTAAGCTAGTCTTCAGCCCTGGATGACTATCACCATGTAAACCTGTGTTTTGCCTTCTTTCTGTAACAGATGGTGGTAAGTTCAGCCCCCAAAAGAGAGATGAGCTGTTTTTGTTTTTTAAAAAAGATAACTCATGGATCATAAAAGACCAAGGTTTTAACAATCCTACTCCAATAGGTCTTGGAAGCTCTTTTCACTGTTAAAAAATGAGGCTTTACAGAGCTTTTGGTCCTGTGGGCTGTGATATCAACATATACACATCAGAAATAAAACAGAAGGCATTCTGAAGACAGAGAAACACAAGTTTCACTGGCTGCCAGTAGGACATCATCACACACCATGTGGCCTTCGGCAGCTTCCACAGCACACCTCGAGGAGGAAGTAGCATCTGCACCATTCTGAAACAGCTCTGGCCTCATAGATCCCTGGCATCCGGGTCACGCTCTGCTACCACCTCAATGCAGCATTTATGTCCGAGGAAGTGTCTCTGCCCTATGACTATCTGTCATTCACAGATGTTCTCCAGAATTAGCAATTTAATTTTTCTCCTTAAAGCTATAACAGTTAAGTTTCTAAAAGAAAAATGAAATAAAACCGATAGCATTCCTCAGGCTGTAGAAAATTAAGCTAACAAAATGATTTAAGTCAAGTTGTTTTCATAGCAAGACTGAGTGAGAGTTGTCTTTACCTGGTCTCATTTTGAACCACTAGTAATGAAATAATGACAGTCTTTACATTTGAATACACTGACATCTATAAATGACTTTTACAAATAGTGACGGTGTCTCCACTGATGCATTGAGGTGGAAATCACCTGAGCAAACCAGAAGTCCGAAGTGCCAAGAGAAGAGCATGCCAAGGAAGACAGCCAGCAGCATGCCAACAGGGCAATCTGGAAGCATGCTGCTGTGTGTCACTGCTCATTGCTATGCCTTATTTTGCGGGGTGGAGGGAGGTGGTTCGAGATAGGGTCGCACTCTGTAGCTCTAGCTTTCCTGAAACTATGTAGACCAGGCTGGCCCCAAACTCACAACAGATCTGCCTGCCTCTGCCTCCTGAGTGCTGGGATTAAAGGTGTACACCATTATACTCAGCTCACGGTTATACCTTAACTGTTACTAACTCATGATGCACTAGTAATTCTATCACAGTTAACTAGGGGAGAGCGAGGTACAAGTATTACACAGTGTATTATATGGATGTGTATCATATAATAACTTTAGAAATTTTTGGGGAAGGCAATGCTATGAATTAAGATAATAAACCATTAGAAGTTCAATGTCTAAGGTGGAAGAATTTTCATTTGAAATTATCAGATGCAGAGTGGGCTGGTGGGGGACACAGCTCAGTGGTAGAGCAGCTGTCCAGCATGTGCAAGGTCAATCCTTGTACCACTAAAACAAAAACAAACAAACAAACAAACAAAATCAAATTGTTAAAGTTGATTCTTATTTAAGAGTTTACCTCCTGCCTCCAAAACCCTAACTTTTCAAATTAAAATTACTTCTGAGAGAAGTTTAAGAATGATTCAGCACAATTTGTTACAGTTCACTATCAGTCTACATTCCACTGAGAAAATAAGCAGAAAACCCTAGAGACAACTAAACACCGTGTGTCTGAGTTAGAGTTGGACATGTGAGTGCATCAGAGCACCTGACTGTTGAGCTAGACAGTCGGAACTGCTCATGAAAGGATGCTATCTCTTCACAGCAGCTTGACGACACCTGCACAGAACATACACACAGATCACCAAGAAGCACAGCGGAGGGCAGCTAAGCACCCCGTTACAGACATCAGTGGCTCCACTGAGGAGTCAAGTGTCTTACAGACAAGGCCAGCAGGGGGTGGGGCAGCGCTGCTTCCTTCTCCGTGCCTGGGCTCAGGGCAGTGTACCTGTATGGGACCGTTTGTGCAGCTCCAGATTGCTCGGGTGTTTAAAAGGCTTCCCACACAATTCACATGCGTACTGCTTCTGGGACTGGAGGCCCTGGGACGGGTCTTCCCATGTGGCCGGGGCTCCCGGAATCTCCACCTCGTGGCTGCTTTCTGCGCCCTGTTCTTCCCTCCCCTTTTCTGCAGGAGTCGGGCTTCTGGCTCTCTCGGCCCCATCTTCCTTAGCAGCAGATTCCTCCCTCCTGACCAAGCTAGTATCTGGTTCGGGATGTGAAGTGTGCTCAGCCGACTGCTGTGACTTAAGGAAGTTTAGTTTCTTCAGGTGCATGGCCTTCTTCAGCCTCATCTGCTTGGCAGGTGGCTGAGAAAGGGGGTCTGCCTCCGAGTCCATGCCAGAGTTCCTGAGGGGTGGAGCCAGGAAGGTGGAAGGCAATTGCTCTGAAGACTCCAGGACACCTGCACGGCCCTCCACGGAAGGCTGTGAGTCTGCTGCAGCAACATCTGTGGAGGCCCCGAGAGTGAGTGGCTCTTCTGTGGTAGGCACCCGGCTGGGGCAGGCGGTCTGCTTGTAGTACTGCTTGCTGTACAAAGTTCTGAGTTTGTAATAGTAGTTGGGCTGTTTGCAGGGCAGCTCTGGGCAGCTGCCACCTGCGGCATCCGGGGCTGGTTTGGAGACTTCTGTGGGACCACTGAAACCTGCTGATGGAGCATGAGGACTCAGTTCGGGCAGAACTTTAGCAGGTGGGCCTTCCGCAGGGCACTCCTGCAGTGAGTGGGGAGGGCAGTGCTCACTTACCGCACAGGGGCCATCCAGAGTCACACTCTGCAGGGAGAAGGCACCAGCACAGGACAAGCCCGGCAGCTGTGCTGCAGAGGCCGACTTCAGAAATGTGTGGCACAGATTCAGAACGTTCTGTACTTGCAAACACTGCGCTGTGTCCAGCATCACTTGAATGTTGTCCTGATTGAGGTCAAGGTGCGACGTGTACATGAAGTCCAGGATCTGCCCTATGCCGCTCACGTTTTTAACATCCAGGTGAAAAACGTCATTCTTCTGGCTGGAAGAATTCTGAAAAAGGCTCCTGACAAAAGAAAGAAAGTCAGTTATTTTCACATTCTGCTAACATTTTCTTTTAAAGTTCATACATATACAAAATATCTATGAATGCTAAGATGTTGTCACAATATTTTTTTTCTTTGTTGTTTTGTTTTTAGAGACAGGGTTTCTCTGTGTAGAGCAGGCTAGTCTTGAACTCAAAGATCTGCCTGCCTCTACCTCCTGAGTGCTGGTATTAGAGGTGTGTGCCACCACCACCTGGCTATCACAAGTTTAATGTTTTTATTTTTAAAGTTTTTTCACTTTTATTCCTTTTTTGTAGTTTTTTGGGTTAGTGTGTATGTTCAAGTGTATACACATGTGTGTGTATGCACATGTGGAGGCCAGAGGTCAACCTTGGATGCTGTTCCTCAGGCACCATCACTCTGTTTTAAGAGAATGGAGTCTCTAACTGGCCCAGAGCTTGCAAAGAAGGCTATGCTGGCTGTCCAGTGAACCTCAGGGATTCACCTGTCTCTGTCTCCCTAGCTCTGAAATTATAAGAATACACCACCATGCCTGGACTTTTCATGTGGGTTCTGGGATCAAATTCAGATCCTCATGCAAACACTCTATGGAACATGATCTACACTGCTTGAAATATAATTAACCACATGTACCAATTAGACAGAGTACAGAAAAAGAAAAAGGACATTACGTATTTCTGTTTTATATCTTTAGTCTGACACAATACATTCCACACCATATAACACACAAATAAGCATTTATACACCTATATGCCTGAAACACTTCTAAAGATAAAGATAAAGGTAATAACCAACCCTCAGTATGTACTCACTATGTAACCTATAATTTGGCTGCTAAGGTATTTTGTTTTGGTTAGGTTTTTGCTTTGTTGAAACAGGTTCTTACTATGTAGACTAGGCTGTCCTAAAACTCACAGAGACTCACCTGCCTCTACTTCCCCAGTGCTTGGTGTGCTACCATGCCCTTCTGGCTGCTAACTTTTGCAGAGACTCAATGGTCCATAAACCAACAGAAAGAAATGCACCTTGACTTAGAGAAGAAAAAGGCCCATGAGGCCCGGGCTCATGGTTCCAGCTGGGTGGAGTGCATAAGGGAGGGAATGGTGTGGAACACAACTTCAGAAGATGACTCAGGTAAACTGTCTCACAAACCCGCTGCAGACCCTTTGTCCAGTCACCTGTTTCCTCAACAGCCTTTGCTTTTTATGCTAGCTACAACAGCCGACATAGGACACCTGCAAGAGCTAAGTGTCCTGGAAGACAGAAGACACCCAGGACAGCAGAGCCCGAGAGTCTGGGAACCCCTACCTTCCTGAACGGAGTCCTTAGAGTGTGTCGCAGTAACACAGTCCTGACAGTGCACACAACAGCCAAGGCTTAATGCCACGATGCAGGGTTATCAGGGCAAGAGGAGGTCCCTTTCCACACACTGCTGACCCGAGCAGGTAAATGTGCACCAAAGAGGAGCATGGTGTCTAAAGAGAGACTTGCTAACCAGAATTGACTTCTAAAGGACAGGTATGAAGGTTAGTGACATGGAACACAACTGCTTGGTGTTAGTCAGTATATATAAGTAAATCACACAAGGCCAAAATAATGGCAGGGATAACTAAGTTGAAGCTGAACTAAGGATTTTCTTACAACGTTCAAATGAGAGACAAAAACTGAACCGCTTTAACTTAGGGAGGAATTTAATTTAGGGAGGTAGAGAGGTAGGAAGGGGCCCACGGAGGGGGAACGCATGCAGAACTCTTTCCCTCTGCCGATTTCTCTCTCTCTCCAGACAGAAGCATCCCTGAGCCCTGGCTGGGCTGGAACTCTCTGTCCTCTTGCTATGGCCACCATGGGCTGGGACGGCAGATGTGCACAAGACAGCCAGTATTCTCCACTCTAATTCCTTATCGCAGCAAAATTCCTACCGCAGATTCAATTCCTCAATCAGTTTATTCAGAAAAAGTGAAAAAAAAAAAAAAGAGTGAATACTGAAATTAATTCTTTTCAGTCATCTCCAATATACTCTAGAGTCTCTTCCTTTCAGGTTACTCTAAACACAAAGTGATAGTATTTAAAGAAATAAGAAAACCCATAAATTCTTATTTTGTTTAAACTCCAAAGAGAAAGACAGAAAAATCCCCGGGAAAAGTGAACTGTGGACACAGTACTTTCTGACAGGTTCCCCAGTGTGAGGTACTCACCTGAAGTACTGGCTGAAGGCTGCCAGTACGTTCTTGTGTGCTTTGAAGCAGACTCCCCTCACCACCAGCATGCAGTCACAAAGCAGGCCTTGGATCCGCTGCTCTCGCAGTTGCTGGAGGAGGTGGCAGCTGTGAATAGCAACAGGGTCCATACTAGACCATGAGACCTACAGCAGAGAATGTAGGTAAGAGCCTCTCAAGAACACCATTGGGACAAAAGGGACCCCAAAAGCACAAACTGCTCTTGGCTTTCATCGTGGTGCATCAAAGTTACAAATTAAAGCACACACCTACCCACTGAACTTCAGCACCTAGCTCAGAGCTGTTCAGCCCACCTCTCTGCAATATGGAAATGTCTCCTCTTTTTTTTTTTTTTTGGTTTTTCGAGACAGGGTTTCTCTGTGTAGCTTTGTGCCTTTCCTGGAACTCGCTTTGGAGACCAGGCTGGCCTTGAACTCACAGAGATTCACCTGTCTCTGCCTCCCCAGTACTGGGATTAAGGCGTGCGCCACCACTGCCCAGCTGGAAATGTCTCCTCTTACTGATCCATTATGGAAGCCATTAAGCTATGTGAAACCCAAAGCACCTGAGTCTGCTAACCTAGAAGGTGGCTGTGATAAGAGTGTATGCATTTCTTTTATGGCCAGCTATGAATAAATATGCCATATTAAAAATAAAAAATACATATACACAATCAAGCATAAAGGAAAAAAAGCTAACCAGCTAAGATCAAACCCATACTTTTTAAACACTTTATGATAATTAATCTTGACCTTCAACTTGATGGGATTGAGAATCCTGGAGATGCAGCCCTGTTGGTGTCTGAGGGCACTTCCAGAAAGGCTTAAATGAGCAGGGAAGACCCATCCTGAATGTGGGTGACACCAACCTATAGGCTGGGGTCCCAGGCTGAATAAAAGAGAGAAAGCAGTCAAGCAGTAGCATGCATCTCCCTGCTCCCTGACTGCAGAGGTAATGTGACCAACTGCTTCTTGCTCCTGCCACCAAGCCTTCCCTCCATGACGGACTGCATCCTCAGACTATGAGCCAAAATAAACCCTTCCTTAAGTGGCTAGTGTCAGCTATTTTGTTATAGCAACAATACACGCCTATACATAGGTCAGTGGAATTCAAAGATCGAGAGGATCAGGAACCTATCTGGGGAGGTAAGATACAAGTTAAAGTAACTACCATCACCAGACAGAGAGCAAGGCAGTATCACAGAGCACCACATCGGCTTAGATGTGCCTCTGTGCCTCTCACAGACATAGAGGAAGCAAGAGAATGGGACATGCCGGTTACTGGGGTCTGTGACCAGCTGGTGTGGAGACTCCAGGGCAGGAACTTGCCCAGCTTCAGAGTATGGCTGCATAGTAGATGGCATGCCAGAGAGGCAGAGGACAGATGACACTGAGCTTCATGCCTTTATGACAACTGACTCTGATTGGGAAGGAGACAGAAAATCTGGTCATTCCCCATCTACCTACTGAGTGACTACTATGTACTATATTCTAGGGCAATAACAGTGAGTAGAGCACAGCAGGTGTCCTGGAAGCTTCAGTTCGAGTGAGGGCAGTGCACAGCTAATGGAACAATTACAGCTAGACATGGGGGCACACAGCTGAAATCAGGTGCAGCCTCTGGCATCCAGACACAGTGGGAGGAACAGGAGGACACTGAGGATCCAAATGGCAATCTGGTACACTAAACTGTAGAGGACAAAATGGCCTTGTGCCCACAGTTAAGCACTGGAGAAGCCAGGAAAGTTAAACACACAGCTTACCTCTTCAATGGAATGAGGTGCCTAGTTGTTTTCCTGGAATTCTAGGGGGAAATGTTGTTTACAACCTAGTAACCTGTTGCTGCCTGTTGAACCAGGCCCTGACCATATCTTCCAGAATTTATGTTTTACTTATCCCAGACCCTTTCCCTTAAAACTTTGAGCATTACTCCTATTCGGGGGAGCAACCTAGCTGGCAGAAGCAATGGTCTTTGTGAGATAAAGACCTGGCCCACATCCGCTTCACTGGTCACCGTTGCTCTGACACCTGTAAGTATCTGGGGCTTTGGGGATGGAGTGACCGCATGAAACTAGAGGACTGTAGGGTTCCTTCTAATTCAGCAAGCTAAAATCTAAATCAAGAATATGACAGTAGAAAGATCAATGTGAAAGACATCAAACAATAAAAATACTAGGGGGAAAAAGGGCAAGGAGAAACAGAAGAAAAAGCTTGGATGATGTGAAGGAAGAGGGACTTCTCAAGGGAAAAGGAGCCTTAATGGAATTTAACCCAGAGGCTCCCACAGCAAGGGCCCTTCTGCTTAGTGAGGTGATTCTGCCAAGTAGTTAACACCAGCAGATGATTTGTGGGACATTTTCTGTGGGGCTGTTTATATCAAGCTTTAGAAGAGGTCTTCAGGAGTTGCTAACTATTGTGCTTATCTTTATTTCTTTTTCTGTATGTATGTGCAGATATGCGTGCATGTTTTGTGTATACATGGGTGCATATGTGTGGAGGCCAGAAGCCAACCTGAGGCATTGTTCCTCAGGGCTGGCTGTCCACTTTCATTTTTTTTTAAAGATTTAGTCATTTATTTTATGAATGAGTGCTCAATCTGCATGTACATCTTTATGCCATAAGAGAGCATCCGATCCCACTAGAGATGGCTGTGAGCCACCATGTGGTTGCTGGGAATTGAGCTCAGGACCTCTAGAAGAGCAGCCTATGCTCTTAACTAATGAGTCATCTCTCCAGCCCCCACTTTCGTTTTTTGAGACACGGTCTCTTACTCAGAAGAGAGGTTCACTGATCCCAGGGACCCACCTATTTCCACCTCCCCAATACTGGGATTACAAGTGCATGTCACCAAAATGGCCTCTTTATGTATTCCATCGCATTCTCCAGATCCTCAGAACTTGATTACCTGTAGAGATCAGACCTTCAATAAGGCAAGTGGGTTAAAAAGAGCCCATTAAGATGAGCCCTGTTCCAACCTGAAAGATGTCCTGACATAAGCAGATGTGAGTACAAGCAGAAATGCTAGTGGTGTAGTGGCACAGAGGAAAGATCATGTGAAGCTACAGCAAGAGGGTGACCACCTGTAAGCCAGGCCGGTCCTCTACAGCAAGCAGACTTGATGACACCACATCCATGACCCTGCATCCTCCATAACTATGAGAAAGTAAATCTCTCCCGCCTGAACCACCTCAGCTGCTGTATCCTGCTTTGGCAGCCACAATAAACAGAGGGAAACCTCCCTGTCACCGACAAATGCCCACCCGAGGGTTGTCTCTCAGAATACTGTTCATAGCCTGTCTGACTTTCATTCGCTCATTTAAGCAACAAACAGTGAGCACTATCGTATACCAGATGCTGTCTTAGGGGCTGCGAACAGCTAATGTTTAGTGAGCGCTCACGCAACTGCAGATACCGGCTCAGCACCTGACCTGCACCGAGTCATCATTAATCCTACACGGCCCCGTGGAGTAGGCGCTGCAGTAACAGCATTCTACAGATAAGACGCCAAGGCACAGATGGCCCCGTGGTGAAGGAGGCGGCGCGCGGCTATGAGGCCAGCTCATGCGCGCCTCTCCTCTCTTGGGGCGACGCAGGCACCAAGAGCCTCGCAGACCGCAGTAAGGGTGACAGCAAGAAGGAGGCCCGGCTCCCAAGTCCGGAGCCTAGCTTTGTGCTCGGCCAGGCGCGCCACACCGCGCTGTCAAGCAGGCCCGCGCGCATCCCAACCGCGCTGACCCGCAGCCCGCGCGAGGCCAGAGTCCCCGGTCGCCTTACCACCGGAGGCCGCTCCCGCCGGGCCGCCTTCTCGTCACTCGTCCCCGTCAAGAGCCTCGGCGTCAACTGCAAGACTGCAACCACCACGGAACCATTCCGACAACGCCCCCTCGGCAGCTCATCGGCGGCTTCCTGCGCCGTCACTTCCGCCCGGGGCGTGGCCGCGACGCGCATGCGCGTTGGCGCGCGCCGGCCGGGAGTGAGTTCGACGCGGGCGAGCTGGGAGAGCCGGTGGCCGCGCTGCGCTGGGCTGCGGCGGCTCCACGTGCTCCCGGCAGCCGGTTGAGACCGTTGGCGGAGTCTGCTGAGAGGTAAGGGCGGCGGCTTGGAGCCCGGGGCCTGGAAGGAGGGCGATGGCGGCGTGGCCGCCTTCCTTGCGGACCCGCTCGCGGGCAAAGGCTGGAGTCCTGAGCTCCGAGAGAAATTGCGTCCCGGTTTTTAGTCCCAGAGGCTGTCGGGGCCGGCCAGATGGCATGGTTGGTCCCCACAGCACAGGGCTGCAGATCTGCTGCCTGATGGGGAGAAGGTTCTTCTTCCTGAGGAGGGCCCTGAGGGCTCCTATAGCACAGAGGACCAAAGACCGAAGAAGGGCGCGCGAATCCCCAAATCTCCAACTAGCTACAAGCTACTTAACTCTGTTGTGCTTGGCTCCACGTCTGTCCAGAAGGCATGCTAGAGAACCTGACTTGGGGTGTGTGTGTGACGATTACAGAGGTAGAGAGCTTGACATATAGTAGTTGCTCAGAAAATGTCAGGATTTTCCTGCAGCAACTAACGCCTAGGAGAGAGAGGTGAGAGGGGTGTGTGTTGCCTGCAAGCCTAACTTCTAGCCATTGAGGGCCTAGGACACGGGTTTGCTCAAATTGTGCCAGACTCCTGGTGTCTACCACAGTACCTAACACATGTAGTTATTTAGGTGAGGCTGTAGTGGGGAGGCTCGAACTGCAGGGCAGAAGCATAGCTTGGATTCTTTGAGCTTCGATGGAAACAGGTGCCTGACTCATGGTCTTCCCCCAGGTCCCAGGAAGGTAGAGAGATGTATGTTTGTCTTTTTTGGTCTTGCACTGCACTTGTGATTTCTGGGAGTTATCCTGGAAGGGGCTTATGTCTAGTATAGTGTGTTGAGTTCCTATTCTTTTTGTTTGTTTGTTTTTTGAGACAGGGTTTCTTTCTCTGTGTAACAGCCCTGGATGTCTTGGAACTCTCTTTGTAGCCCAGGCTGGTCTTGAACTCACAGAGATCCTCCTGCCTCTGCCTCCCAAGTGCTGGGATTAAAGACGTGCACCACCACCGCCCGGCTGAGTCCCTGTTTCATAGATAGGGAGAATTTGAAGTTTAAAGGGAGCAGTGTCTTGCTCACTGGATCTTGTGCTAGACGGATTTGCCAGCCTGGCCTTTAAGATGTGCTGTTTTTAGGGCAAATCTAGTCAGTGTGTGGGCATAAGTTTAAAAGTATGCTAAGAATGGGGAGGTAATCCGGTCTGTAAAATGCTTGCCACGCAAGCATGAGGAACTGAATCCTCTTGCCCAGAACCCAGGTTAAAAAGCAAGGCATGGGGGCTGGAGAGATGGCTCAGAGGTTAAGAGCACTGCTTGCTCTTCCAAAGGTCCTGAGTTCAATTCCCAGCAGCCACATGGTGGCTCACAACCATCTGTAATGAGATCTGGTGCCTTCTTCTGGCCTGTGGGGATATGTATAGACAGAACAATGTATACATAATAAATAAATAAATCTTTAAAAAAAAAAAAAGCAAGGCATGGGCCGGGCTGTGGTGGCGCACGCCTTTAATCCCAGCACTCAGGAGGCAGAGGCAGGGAGATCTCTCTGAGTTCAAGGCCAGCCTGGTCTACAGAGCAAGTTCCAGGACAGGCTCCAAAGCTACACAGAGAAACCCTGTCTCAAAAAAAAAAGAGGGGTGGGGGAGGTGGGCAACTCCTGAAGTTGACCTCTGGCTTTGCCAGGTACCTCTTGGTCACAGCATTTATTTATCACAGCAGTGGAAACCTCACAGGACATTGCTGGCTTCACTTACCCAGGGTTCCGTTCGTAGTTTGTAGCCTTCACACTTGTGGTGCTGGTAGGCCTGGACTAAGACTAATATCCTGCTGGACGGTCAGTTGAGCTGGCTTTTGTGAGGTGAGCCTTAGCATTCCTAATGTGTCTAGTGCTGCATGCTCCTCATAAATGGAAGATATTTTCCCCAGATTGGATGTGCTGCACAGCCAAGGTGACCCCTGGGGCTGGGTTGTCCTCCCTGGATCATGAATAAGCTCCTTACAGATCTTATCTCATTAGCCTAGCAGGTGGACACACTGTTTCCCCTTTCATATCAGGTGGATAGAAAAGCAGTTGAGTGTGGCTCCAGACTGATGTTTCAGTTGGACATATGACCTGATTCCAGCTTTCCCCAGAGTTGGTGTTCACGCTGTGCCCTGACCGTAGGGACCTGTTCTGTATAGGTGCTGTAAGCATACTTTTTGGCACACCACTTTTGTCACTTCCTCTATCTTGTTTCCAGTGCCCTTTGGGGCCTTTCATTCTGGTCTTTCCCAACCAACAGACCCATGGCTCTCAGGGTTTGCTGCTCGATCCTCCCTTGGCCAGAAACAGCAGTCCTCGGTGGTGGAGGTTGGAGGGGTGTTTTCTTCGTCAGCCTCATTGTGGAAGTGCTTTCTGATTTGTGTGTGTGTGTGTGTGTGTCCCCTTTAGCTAATTGCAGCAGCTGCTCCCTGTGCTGTGGTGGCAATCCATCTCTTAGTATCTAATCAGCGACTTTTGTCATGTTCTTACATAAATGTGTAAGAGTGTCCATTCTAGGTGACACCTGATGTCGGCTCTTGTTCCCGAGTTTTCTCACCTGTGCAGCAGAACTGCTGCCTTTGCTGTCTGGCAAACAAACAAACAACAACAAAAAAAAACCCTCCATCTATCTGCCTTGTGCACAGTGATGGTAAGCATCTCAGAAGCCAGGCTATGGGAAACATTAAACATGGTCCCAGCTCTCTGAGCTGTGACTGTCACATGTCTTTACAAAAAACCAGACCAGACAACATTACTTGCGTGGCCTAGAGTGGTCCTGTCTGGTTCATTTGACCGTTGGTGCCAGGCTGTAGCTGTCCACATGCCTTCTCTTGCTGATCAGCTCTGTTGGAAAGCCAAGGAGGGAGGCACATTGGTGTCCAGGACCTGCAGTTTGTGTCTAGTGAATAAGATGCACCAGTGTCTCAACAGTGCCCCACAAGGCAGGGGGACTTTGTTCACCTGGGTGTACATTTCCATTCAGGGCTCAATGGAAGAAAACAGTCCTTCCTGTTTTTGCTTTGGCATGACCTCACTAGCACTGGTGTGGGTGGGGGTTGGAATGGTGGTACATGCTTGAGAATTCACTGTAAACCAAGTGCAGCTTGTTGGTGCTGAGGAGTTCTTACAAGAAACTGAGAAGCAAGTCCTGTGTGTTCACTTGCTCCTCAGCTTCATTTTACACTGAGGGAGGAGGGTTCTGGGTTCAGCAGCTCTCAGTATTTGGACTGAACAAAGCCCATTTTAGTAAGAACAGCACTGTTCTCTTAGAGTCCAGTGATTAAAAGGCTATGTAAGCATGGAAAGTTACCGTGGCATTTGTAGCACTTTAAAAGCCTGTTTGTGCAGAGTACAGTAGCATGCATGCAGCATGAACTGACTGTGTGTGTGTGTGTGTGTGTGTGTGTGTGTGTGTGTGTGTGTGTGTGTGTGCAGATGCCCTCTGTGCTGGGTGCACTTAGGGAGGCTGGCACACCTGGATTTGGGAGGACTTTTCTTCCTGCCTGATGCGCATAAGCCCTAATGGAAAGTGTTCATTTGTCCCTGTCCACTGAGGCCAAGAGGATGTCTTCAGTTTATTTGTGACTCCATCACCGTGCATGTGGGAATTGTTCTTTAGCTTCTCTGCCTGCTGAGCTCCACTGCTTACTGCCTTGCTTTGTTGCTGCTGCAGTCGCAGTAACAATCTGCACTGCACACCTGCACTGTGGCGCTCATCACCTCTTTGATTTTGTACATTTTATGTAGGGGGAGGGGTGCTTAAGATCTTTAGTGAAAGCTTTATCTGTGCTGCCAATGCCAATCTGTCAGGTTTAAATCCTTTGACGGTGTCCTGGGCAAGTTCCTTACTCCCTGTGTCTCTGAGTAAGCTTGTTGCGAAGGCTCAGTACATTAGCTCCTGAGCATAGTTCCTGGCCTGTGCTGAGCACTGAGGGTTTTTCTGACACTGGTAATGGGGTACTTCTCCAGGATTATGGGTAAGCTTTGAGCCTGCTCTTTTTACTGTGGAATTCATGTATTGGGAGGAGTTTCAGCTTATTATAATTGCCTTTATCTTGTTTTGGTTTTTAGGGCAAGAGTTCAAACCTGTCTCAGAATATTTAACCATTTAACCAAAAATGGTATTTTTTACATGCAATGCATGCGGTGAATCAGTGAAGAAAGTACAGGTGGAAAAGCACGTATCTGTCTGCAGAAACTGTGAATGTCTTTCCTGCATCGACTGTGGGAAAGATTTCTGGTAAGTTCTGATCATTCCTGAAGATCCGAGGATAGAAGTCCAGACCCCACCAGGCTTGGGAAAATAGAGGGGTGAAATGAGGACAGAGACCAAGAAAGAGGCCTATGGTCTGCTGACTAAACTTGGTGTGACTCTTCGGGGAGCGCCATTTCATTTTCAGGACTTGTTAAAGTGAAGACCAAAGGGCTTCTTGGGTCCTCTTGGTTAGAGAATTTGGGGCTAGCAAGGTGGCTCAGTGGGTTTTAATGTGCCCGCCCTACAAGCTTGACCACCTGAGTTCCATTCTCAGGACCCAAGGTGGAAGAGATAAATGACTCCCCCAAATTGTCCTCTGGGTACTCTGTGTCACTTAGTATGCATACAGTTTTGGGAGCATATAGTTTATAGCTCAATGGCAGATATCTTGTCTGGTATGTATGAGGCCCTAGATTCAGTTCCCAGCACCATCAAGTTTTAAAAAAAAGTTTTTAGAGAAAATGTGATCATTCAGCTTCCTGGCTGGCATTTTGCTTCCACTATCCAATGCAAGGAAGTGAGCACTCAGAATAAGGGACTTAGTGGGCGTGTACGGGGGAGGGGTGGTACTTTGTTATGGTTCTGTCAGCTCCCATTGCTTTGAAGAAGGCATCAAATAAGCAGAATAATGAGGGTAAGAATTAGGCTGTGTGCGCAGATGGCCGGGTGTGGAAAGTCACAAACGATAAGCAGTGTGCTGTCTTTGGGTGCCACTTGCACATTGTCAGCCTAGTGATGAGACTTGGGTCTCTCTGCAGGGGCGATGACTACAAAAGCCACGTGAAGTGCATCAGTGAAGGTCAGAAGTATGGAGGCAAAGACTACGAAGCCAAGACACACAAAGGTGACGCAAAGCAGCAGGCGTGGATTCAGGTAAGGGTCTCTCTCCAGCCTGTCACTTCCCACACCTGCTTCCTTCTGGGAGTTCGGTGAGAGGTGTCACTTGTGCAGACAAGCCCCAGTGACAGCATGCCTTCGGGTGGAGCAGAAGTGTCAGAACACTTGAGAAAGATAAAACTGTGCTCTGTTGATCTTTGGCTGATGTGTGTACAGATGGCGCTCACAGTATCTGAGGGTTCCTGCTAACTTTCTTTTGGCTGTAAACTGAGACTGAAGCGTGTACAGGTGCCCTCCCTGTGGTAGAGACCTTACAGTTTAAGCTTTGTCAGCCTGTCACTTCTGAACAAAGTAAACGATTTAACAAGTGTAAGGAATTTTCTAGTTAAATAAAGTGAAAATATGTACCCAAGTGCTGAGCTCCAACTTGAAAGAAGGCGAGATCGCTGGACAGATGTCACCTTTGTGGAGACTGCATTTTCTTGAAAATCAAATTACTAGTTCCCCTATTGAATGGCAGAGTGTGAGTGTGAACTTGGGGTGTTGGCTTCTCTGAAGGTGCGTCTCCTGACATGACCTCATGAAGGGCTTAGAGCAGCTGCAGAAACCTTTAAGATGTGTATAGTGCCGTCAGGATGGCTCAGCCAGGATACAGGTGCTGGCCACCAAGTCCGCTAGCCTGAGTTTAATCCTCAGGACTCACATAGTAGGAGAGAAGTGATGGATACAAATTGTCCTCTGACCTCCACACAGCCACTTTCCCCATTGAGCCATCCTGCTGGCCCTTAATGCTGTCTATCTGGTGTCGTGTGTAAGAAATCATTACCAGATTAGTTATCTAGAAAGTTTTTTTCCTAAGATTTTATAAGTTTAGATCTTTGATCCATTTGGGGTTATGTTTATGTAACATAGGTAAGAGTCCAATTTCCGTGTGAGGATCCACTATTTCTAGAAGGGGGTCCATTCTTCCATGGACTGGTCTTGACATCCTTGTCAAAAACCCTTTGACTATATCCTCGGGGGCTTATTCCTGCTTTTTCCAGTGGTCTTTGTGACAGTACCACACTCTTTGGATCATTGTGTTTTTGTAGTGAGTTTTGAATTTAAAAAAAAAAAAAAAAAACAACCTTTTATTTTTTCAAGATTATTTTTGTCCTTTGGAGTCCCTCGGGGTTCCATGTGAATTAGAGCACACATACAGCTGGACTTTGCCAGGACTTTCAGGTTGGCATCTTAATGTGGTCTCAGTCCATGAGATTAATGCCCTCTTTGGTTCTTGTAACAGTGTGTTTAGTTCATAATTCTCTTTGGTTGTAGCTTTTCTAATTAGTCTGTTCCTTATGTTATATTGGAAATGGAATCTCCTACTGTTCACAGTTGAGTTGTTTTTGTTGGTATATAAAAATGCAGCTTGCCTTTTAAGAACTGATTGTGTATTCTGCAGCTCTGCTGAACGAGGTGTTAGTTCTGACTGGTTGCCTCCTTCAAATACTGCCTGTGGATATTTGACCTGATTTTGTCCCTTCTGTTAAGAAGGCTTCTTTTTCTTGCCCAATAACATTGGCCAGGACTTCAGTGCTGTGTGGGACCGGGGAATTTTTGTCATTACACATAGATGTAAATACAGAATCTTGGTTTCGAAGGTAAGAGCCCCTTGACCATGCCAATATGTCAGTTGTTTATTTTCTTCTTTTTTTAATAGAAAATTAATGAATTAATAAAGAAACCCAATGTCAGCCCTAAGGTTCGAGAACTTTTGCAGCAAATCAGTGCTTTTGACAATGTTCCCAGAAAAAAGGCAAAGTTTCAGGTATGGATTTAAACGATGTTCCCAAACCGGGGTGCGGCCCATCAGTGAGTGACCTGTCAGAGGGGACAGTGGCTTTCTCTTTATGTCTGCAGAACTGGATGAGGAACAGCCTGAAAGTGCACAGCGACTCTGTTCTGGAGCAGGTGTGGAACATCTTCTCCGAAGCGTCCAGCAGTGTGAGTCCACTCCACTTTGCAGTTGCGGTATGACAGACAGCTGGGAATAACAGAATGGTGTGCTGTGTTGGAGGTTGAGAGGGCATTTCCACAGAGCCTCTGCTCTCTCCTTGATGGGCATCACTGAGCTGGGAGCACCCGGTGTGCAGAGGCAGCCATTCGGCCTGCATGTGAGGCAGTGGACCAATCTTTGGAATGATTGGCACAGCCCTGGGCTGGGTGAATGGGAATGGTCCAGGATTTGATGTCTGGCTGATCTGATTCTGGACTCAGCTGTGCTCTGTGTGTTTGATCATGTCACATTATTTAGCCTCAGATCCTCAGTTTCCTAATCTAAAACATCCGTGCTGTTATACACTTTTTATTTATTCCTTACTTATTGCAGACCTCAAATGTCTAGGAGTGACTTGGTACTGTGAAAGAAATTTATAAACAGGCTGAGGGCATCCCATCTTGCAGCCAGAGTGTGGGGCCCCAGACTCTGCATGTTATAGTGTTCCTGTGGGTATTTAGTGGATGGTCAGTCAGCCTGAGCTTGCTTCTGCTACAGGGAGAGCATTTGCACCATTAACCACCTATTGGTGAAAGTGATTGGGCAGAGAGCCCCCAGGTGTAGACCATGGGAATGGGACTTGGCTTGCTATTCTTCACTGAAGTTGTTGGTTCCATTGTCCATTTCCATCTACCCACGTACATCCTGTTTGGGCACTTTGGTGGTGTGAAAACAGGAGGATGCTCTGACTAGTCTAGTGCTTGCTGCACAGGCATGACGACCTGACTTTGGGTCCCTGGTGTTCACATACAAGCTTGGCATGGCGGTACTTGTCTGTAATCCTGGCGGTGAGGAGGCAGAGAGAGGTGGAACCCAAGGACTTGTTAGCCAATCTGTCTAGCCTAAATAAACAGCTTCAGGCTCTGTGAGAGACCCTGACTCAAAACATAGGGTGGAAAGTGGCTTTAAAAGGTACCTGATGTTGACCTCTGGCTTCCACACATACACACACAAGCCAGTGTTCCTGTATCTGTGCACACACAGAAAGGGAAAGTTAGTTTGAGCAGCAAAGTGAGATCAAAAGGAAACTCACCTTTATGGTATATCTTGCACTTGTCTCCACAGCACACAGAATGGACCATTGAAATCTTAAAACCGCTTATCATTTAATGGACATGAATGTGACATATAATTTTAAAAGGTTGTTTGTTATTTTCACAAAAAAATTCAAAGATTTGAAATTGCTTAGTTCAGATGTGGGATTTTGACTTCTTTCTAGTTCTTTGGAATTCATGAACTTTTGAAAAATTGAAGAAAATGAGCAGTCAACTCCTGCTGTGTCCCGACAGCTAAGCAGTGGCTGGTTCCAGCAGCCCCCCCCCCACCTCTGCCCAGTGACTGTCTACAGAACAAAGGGCCTCTGGCTTGCTGTAGCCTTGGCTTAGGCATACCCTCTCACTGCAGGTGTAGCGGGAGTGGGGGTTTCTATTTCTGATGTACAGCTTCTCCCGTGGGTTAGCAGCGGTGCCGTGGCTACAGCCATCATCAGGTGATGCCCTGCCTCAGTGGAGCTAGTGTGGTGGAAACAGCAGTGGATGAGGGGTTACATAGAAGCCCAGTCTTAGCGCTATGAAGGGCAAAAAGCATGGGCAGAGAGGAAAGGGGGTGTTCTGCTGCGGAAGAGTTGGGCAAGGCATCGCTCGGGAGCAAGAACTTCTGTGTGTCTTCCATTCTGCGGCCGTGCGCTGGTTTGACCCCAGCTGGAGACTGGGGCTAAGCTCAGTGGAAGGGGAGTGGAAGGCGCTGGCACTCTGGTCACGTGTTCCAGTTTGAGTATTGAATGTCCCCAAAGGCCCACGTGTTAAAGGCTCATCCTCAGCTTCTGGCAGTATTGGGAGGTGTGGAGCTTTTAGCAAGGACCCAAGTGGGTCCTGGTCAGAGGAAGTTAGGACATTGAGGACATGCCTTTGAGGGGGTGTTGAGATCTCAGCCTCTTCCTTGTTCTCTTTGCTTTCTGATTCATGACATGAATGGTTTACACTGCCGTGCCCTTGCCTGAGACCCAAAGCTTTTCGGTCTTGGATAGGAACCTTCAGAATCATCAGCTGAGATAAATGTTTTCTAAGCTAGTCACCTCAGATGTTCATTATCACAGTGGGAAGCTGGCTAATACATTTTAATAACTTAGCAGAAGAAGACAGTCATAGGAAAAGGGTGAAGGATGTCTCCCATTCCTCCTCCTGGGTCTCTTTCTGTATTCTCGTTAAGTCTCTTTTCCCCGGGAGCCTTGTCAGCCTCTGAGAAATCCTCAGCAGTTAGTTGGTCTGCTTCCCGGTGCAGTCCTCCCAGGCACTGAGTTAGTGCAGCAAGTGAAGGCCAGTTTGCCTTCATTTTGGCATTGCAGAGAGGACTGACTGGGTAACTTGTCCCATGTCATTTGAAAGTGGCTGAGGAGTGAAACTTGCTGTCATGCTTGTGGGTGCCTCAGCCCAGGCGTCAGCACCTGAGGCAGCCACATCCCTCCCTCTGCAGAGGCCCACAGCTCACAACAGTTCAGTGCCTGTCCTCATACGTCTTAAGAGATCAAGGTAGGAATGTAGCAGAAAGGGGACCTGTTCGCATGGGCCCTGCTGCCCATTCTTACTGAGTACAGAATGAGGCAGGAAGTCTGTTTCAGCACAGTGCATGCAATGCCTTGGATTTCTGGGCTACAGTGACTCAGGCTGGGCTCTTTGTGAAGGAAAGAGGCTTGGTTGGCTCACACTTTTGGAGGTTGGAAGTCTAAAATTAGGTGGTTCCATCTGTTCAGCTTCTGGCAGACAAGGTAGTGTGTGATGGGAGCATTTTGGGAAGTGGTGACATGGTTGGCAGGAAGCTAACAAGGTTCAGGGTAGGTTTGGTCTTGACTCACTGAGGGCAGCATCCCTGATAACCCAGCCTCCCTAGGCCCCTCATCTTCAGGTTCTGCCACTTCTGGTTCCATCACGTCTGAAACCAACCTTCAGTGCCTGCCCCATGAGAGGCACTCAGACCCTAGCAGATTTTACTGCCTATTCTTCCCGCTGGCAGCTGTCCATGTCCATGCTGAGGGTGGCCATCTCATCTGGAGAAGGGTGATGTGCAGTGCCTTTGTCTGTACCCATTCACAGAACACTTACCTGCATTGTGTCTGCTGCACTACACACAGGGCATACCTTTCTTGTGTTAGCCATACTCTTACAGGTGACTCAGCCACAATTGGCAGTTACACGTGCTTTGTCCTAGAGATGAAGCAGTAGCTCCTGGGTACCTGCTACCTACAGCTCCCTGACACTCTAGTTGGCTTTTTGGTGTTTGGGTTTTTTGTTGTTGTTGTTTTTTCCACTCTTTTACCCTTTGTTCTTTGGGGGCCTGCCACCCAGCTCCCAAATAAACACATGGGCATTTATTATTACTTATAAATGCCTGGCCTTAGCTTGGCTTGTTTCTAGTGAGCTTTTCTTAACTTAAATTATCCCATCTACCTTTTGCCTCTGGGCTTTTACCTTTTCTATTTCTGTATATCTCTTCTTTCTTATTCTGTGGCGGACTGTGTGGCTGGCCCCTTATCCTTCCTCCTTTTCTTGCTCCTCTCTTCTCTCTTTCTCCTATTTATTCTCTCTGCCTGTCTTCCCTGCCTATCCTTTCTCCTGCCTGGCTATTGGCCATTCAGCTCTTTATTAGACCATCAGGTGTTTTAGACAGACAAAGTAACACAGCTTTACAGAGTTAAACAAATGCAACATGAAAGAATGCAACACATCTTTGCATCATTAAACAAATATTCCACAGCATAAGCAAATGTAACACATCTTCAGCTAATATTCCACAACCTGACACCCCACACCTGGCTGTTGTGTCCTCATCTAGATGAAGGGCGACAGTGAGCCAGAATCACAGTCTGGCTTCCTTTCACCCTTTAATATCATGAGAACAGGTTCCAGAGTGGCTGGGAGCTGGGGGTGTTGGCCGCTGTTGTCCTTTTGTACTTGCATTGCTAAATCTTAGCTGTTGGTGTCCCAGTCATAAGCAGTATAGTATGGGCAGTAGGCGAGGCCAGACCACATCCTTAGATAATTCTTGTTTTTGCTTCATCAGGAGCAAGATCAGCAGCCACCCAGCCACGTGGCCAAGCCACCTGCAGAGATCCCCACGAAGATTCCGTCTGTGAAAACAAATGGCACCACGGAAGAACAAGGAGAGGCAAAGAAGAATAAAAGAGAAAGGAAGGAGGAGCGGCAGAAGAACAGGAAGAAAGAGAAGAAGGAGCTGAAGTCAGAAAACCACCAGGAAAACCTCAAGGGCCAGAAGACGAAGAAGCGCAAGAAGGGCCAGGAGGCTGGACATGAGGCTGGTGGGGAGGAGACCACTGAGGCCAACGGCCCACCAGAAAAGAAGAGGGCCCGGGGTGGGCAGGCCTCAGAAGAGGATGCAGATGGAAACGGGGGCCCTGGGGAAGATGCTGATGAGGGGCAGACCAAGACGGGGGCAGGAAAACAGAAGCGGCGAAAACACTCAGAAGGTGTGTGCTCAGCCTGTACACTTGAGTTCTCGGTGGGGCTGTGAGTTGGGGTACAGGGGAATGTATTAGGCCTCACATTCTAGACCAGGTAGGGAGAAGGGCAGAAGCTGTAGGGGTCCAGCTGACCTCACCTGTCAGCCTTCTCTTGCTCATCTTCAGCAAGCATATAACAGAACCTGCAGACTGAGGTCCGGGGAGGGAATTGGCATGCTGATGCTGAGCTGGGCTTTTATGACCGGAAGCAGCTGAACCTTTTTGCTTCACTCACAGTTGAGTCCAATTACAAGAAGAAAAAGATGAAGTCTCCAGGACGGCCTGAGGAGGGAGAGGCCGAGGACCATGAGGTTCCAGCGAAAGGTACCACTGCCTGTGTTTATCCTGTGTGGGTAGGGAAAAGATACTCCTGCCAGAGGCAGGCAAGCACTTCCCTGCAGGGTCATGCCCGTCAGAAGCACAGCTAAAAATTTTAAAGTGAACCCAGAGCTCCAGGCCTACGGGTTGGTACCACGGTGCCTCTGTCCTCTCTTAAGGAAAAAGGAGAGTCTGGGTTGAAAACAGAAATGCGGGCCAGTGTTTCGTTACTGTAACAAATATCTGAGATGACCAAACTATAAAATCAGTAATTTTGAATCATGGTCACTAGTCCTATGATTTAGGGTCTGTGGTAGGGCCTTGCTGCTCAAAAGGCCGAAAAGGGAAAAAAAAGAGACTCAGATCCCACAGCCTCTTGAAGGTCAGTTCTGCAATGACCCAAAGACTCACTAGGGTCCCACATAGTCAGGGTTCCAAGCTGGGCTCCAGTCTTTAGGGGGCACTCCGGATCCAAACCACAGCGATATATTGTCTTTAGTTGGCAGGGAGCCCAGTGTGGGTTTCCCAGGCTTGTTCCCTTCCCGCCTTCCCCGTCTGCCCCGTCTGCCTTGTCTAGCTTCTCCTGTAGAGATGTCTTGAGGTCCAGGCAGTTGTTAGCTGTCCCCTCTCTGCCTCTGGGTCTGTTCCTAGTATCTCCTTACATGAAGCTCCATGGCCACCTCCCAACCCCATTAAGCTCTCCATATATGTACTGTCAGAATCCAAGACCACGGGGCTCCTCTTAAAAGTTCTGTGAAGTGGCAAATCCGTACCCTCTGTGTAGACTCCCACCCTCTCCTCTTGCCAGCAGAAATGAGCCAGATGGGAGATGGAGCCATAGGGGGAGCTTAATCAGATCTCTCGAAGCCTTTCTCTGACTGTAGACTGAAGGCTTTTAAGGATTAAGTTGTTTCCTTTCTTACTGGCCTTTTGTCCCTTTTCTGGTTGGATTTGGGGTTTTTGTTCTCTCACTATTATAATTTTGAGACTTCTTTATATATCGTATATGTATGTATTGTATCTATATATTTGTTTTGTTTTATTTTTGAGACAGTTTCTCTGTGTAGCCCTGGCTGTCCTGGAACTCATTCTGTAGACCAGGCTGGCCTTGAAGTCACAGGGATCTGCCTGCCTCTGCCTCTTAAAGGCGTGTGCCACCATACCCAGCTCCCCCTGCCCTGCCCCCACCTCCAAGTAAGGCTTGAAAGGAATGGGGCCTTGTCTGTGCTAAGCAAACAGTCCATCACTGAGCTTCATCCATGACCTCTCCTATTATTTTGGGACAAAAGTATCACCAAAGTTGTCCAGGCAGGCCTTGACCTTGCTCTGTACCCCAGGCTAGCCGGCCTTGAATTTGTGATCCTTCTGCCTAGCCCCCCTAGTTGGAATTACAGGCCTGTGTCCACAGCCTACCTCCTGCTTACCTGGCTTTCTCTCCAGACCTTAAGGTGGTGGGTATTCCTGCTGCCAGGTAGAGCAAGGAAGTCAAAGTCCCCTCCTTCTTTTCACTGCCAAAGCGGACCCTGAGACAATGCCAGTCTCTGTCTCACCACCTTTCCATGTTGTCTTAGGTTTGCTGAGTCTGGCATTCAGCTATGGGCCTAGCAGGAAAAGCAAGAGCAGGCTTGGGTGCTCAGCTGTATCTAATGCACCCCACTGTCAATGTTGCTGTTGATCCTTTCTCCCAGGAGGCTGTCCCTACCATGATGCTTGAGGGGACCATCTCTCCACACTGAGTACATAGTTGGTCCCTAGAGGTCCCCATTACTGGTAAAGAGTTTGGGTGTCTTGTTCATTGGAGAGTCATGTTATTTCCCAGGAAGCACACAACTGTGAAAACATATTTTTCTTTGCCCTTTGGGTGACAAGACAAAAAAGGCCTTATGCATCATTCTTTGCATTGCAGGTAAATTCAACTGGAAGGGGACCATTAAAGCCGTGCTGAAGCAGGCTCCAGACAATGAGATCTCAGTCAAAAAGTTAAAGAAAAAGGTACATCCTGAAACAAAAATAAGGCATGGAACAGCTGGGGAGGGGTTATTTCTAAAAGTGTATGTGTGTTGTTTAACCTGAAACACTGAGACAGACAGACAGACATTCAGAGCTGCTCACGTGTGCAACTAGAACAAGCCCATCCATCCTGCAGCCACGCCATGGTGGCTCTCTGACTGTCTAAAGACTGCATGCAGTGGCCTACAGTTGACTGTACTGGAAATGACCAGAAGTGATTTTTCCAGGCACTTTGCTCTCTCTGATGCAAATGATTGCTGGTGCTTTTTCCAAAAAAAGTTTTATTGTGTTATTTACTTGTGTGTGTGTGTGTGTGTGTGTGTGTGTGTGTGTGTGTGTGTGTGTGTGTTATTTGTGTGTGTGCACGCATAAATGTGGAGGTCAGAGTACAGCTTGTAGGAATATGTTTTCTCCTTTCACCATTTTGGGCCCTGGGCATTGAACTAAGTCATCAGGCTTGCAAGGCAAGTCCCTTCCATTGTGCCATCTTGCCAGCCCCTCCTTCTTGATTCTGTAGTGCTGTGTGACATGGAGTTGTGTACACACCTGGGCAGCTGCTGGGTCTCCACAAGCGGAGCAGGCTTGTGTGACCAGCTTCTGGGTTTCTTTTATCTTGTAATGTTGACCTACATCTGGACCTTTTTCCATATACTTCATGCCCAAAGAAGCCTTGGTAGGTAGATTTGCCAAGCACATCTACGACATGGCCTCCCCACCTGACATCTGTTTCTTTTTGTAAAGGTTATAGCTCAGTACCATGCAGTGACGAGCGACCATCACATGTCAGAGGAAGAGCTTCTGGCCATCTTCAACAAGAAAATTAGCAAGAACCCCACTTTTAAGGTGCTGAAGGACAGAGTCAAGCTTCTGAAGTGAGCGCTCCATTGCTTCACACACTTCTACTGACTGCTTCCCTCTACTGTTTGTAAAATGTGTAATGAACTGTAACAGCCTGAATTTTGCTTTCTGAAACTGTATTTTTAAGTTAAGGAAAAAATATATTTTTGTTAAAACTTTTATGAAAAATAAAATATATTCTTCTCGAATTCTATATCAATAGTAAAAAATTCATGTACTTGAAGAAAATTGCCAGAGTCCAGCTCCGGATGAGGGCAGGGTCTGAAGATGGGTGGATGCAAGAGCCTCGACAGGAGGAATCAGACACAGGACATTTCTTAGTTTCGTTTTAGGAGAGATGGTCAGAGGAAGCACATCTCAGTGTGGCTTGTCCTATTCTGTCAACCTGTATCTCTCACAGGCTTTATTTATGCAGAATTATTGAGCAGGGATACATGATGATGTTTCAAAACAGATCTTAACATTTTTGGTTTTGGACATGTATTTCACTTCCTTTTGCTCATCTTTTTGTCATCATTAATAAACTATGACAGAACAGAGTTATCATTTCCAATCATTTTCCCCTCAAGTTTTGACATCATTAATAAACAGTTATCATTCTTATTCATTAACTTCATAACCCAATTTTAAGAATCTAGAAGCATATGACAGCTGGTTCTTTGGCTGGTAGCTTTGGTTGCTTCAAGGATACTAGACCAAAACAAAATCTTCAAGTCACCCTGGGCATATTGCCATGTCCCAATTAGTGTATTATTAACTCTTAGTGATCAGAGTGCCCAGGAAAAGTCCTCAGGCCAAAGCTGCTGCAGTTATTATTCAAATTCTGGCACAATATAATGTTCACATATCTTTATAGAATTTGCCTATATGTCTAATCCTGCTATTCTGTTGTTCTTTGGTCATATAACATTACCATGACTCTGTATATACTAACTTTTCTAAGAAAGGGAGGTCTTGACATCTCATTCTTTTTATCATCTTTCCACTCCATACTTTGCTCATCATTATGTCTCTGTGTAGGGCAGAGGTATATGCCATGTAATTGAGTATACAGTGGGAAGAGGCTTGTAATCTGAACTGTGGCCAACTCCTCTAGCCCACCAAATCTTTTTTTAAGTTTACTTTGTTTTGAATATCTTGTTTGGATATCTCCCTAAAAGAACGGGGAATAGGATGTTCAGGACTGTCTTGGGAAAGCTTAGAAGTAGCATTCCTGGGAGAAGGCATAAATGATTCATAAGGAATTTTCCATCATCCAGTATCCCCAAATTGTACAAATATTAAAAGTCAAGTATGCAACAGGTGGAGATGAAAACCAAAGGTGGCATGGCAGCCATCATGCAGCTCAGCTCTGCTGGATCTTTGTTGTTCCTGCCTGTACTTCCTGCCTGGCTACTGGCAAA